GCCATGGACGGCTCATGCAGTTTACTAAAACTAGTGGTATACAATTTTTCAGAGATTATAAGTATAATCTATCAGGAAAATTTGATTTCCATGCTTTCCCTTTCACGTCGGTGACTTGGAGGTAATATTGCTTCTTGTCCGAAGATGAAATAAAATAAAAAGGCTTGCATGATCATACTGCATTATATATATAGTAGACTATATAGTCTAATTAAACATCAAGAAATACCCCAACCCTAAACCTAATGGATTTTATGAAGCCGCTGGTTTGGGTACATTAATCTAACCTAATTTCTCTACCACGTTCTAAACACAAAATTTGTTAAAAATAAGATGATTAAATTTATTTTCTCAATCGGTAGAGTAGTTAACCTCACAGTGACGATAATCTTCCTCCCCAAATTTGGGTATTTTTGTACTAAAAATGGTCTATATATAAAAGAACTTTACAATAAGTTTATTGAAATTGGCTATATATCACGGAATCTCAACATCCGTACTTAGAAAATGGATTAGAACTCCTAGGAAATAAAATAAAATATATGATGATCCCTTTAAAGGGCCTTATAATGGGGAAGACTTTTCACGGAATATAGGAAGACGAAGAGGAAAACCAAAAACTTAGAACTTCAAGGAGAGGGACTGAGCAGGGAGAATAGTAAAAAACCGGACCCAGAAGACCCGTGATGAAGAAGAAAACATTGTATTTTTCTTCGAAGTTTTTTCACATTTTCTTCTCGGCCTTACAGCCAAGTAGCATTTTCCGACACCAAAAAAAGATTGAAGGAAATAACTAAATTAAGGTAAATAATTTCTCTATAGCAACTTGGCAAACAAAAACATACTAGAAGAAAACAAGGAAAATACAAAGAAATTAGGGAAAAATTAGGGAAGTAACAAAATAAATTTAATACAGGACCAAACGGTGCAAATGTTTAATATGTTCAGGAATTAAAAAACAAAACTAAATGCATATGACATGCACGTGCTGGAGTAACTATGTATTTTCACCTCAATTTTGCACTGGCCTAAAAACTTTGACTAGTTTGGTTCGTTTCACACAAGCAAGTGAAAATACTTTGTTGCCTCTGCACCTGCGGGTCACTTGACTTGTGGTAACGCAATGATCAGATTGACAGAAAATAAAACGCAGTGACCAAAATAAATTTTAGAAATCAACACAACGACCAAAAAAGTTTTAATTTAATCCATTTTTAACAGTCCAGCTAGCTACCATGAAAGCTACAACATGAAAGCTGACGGTCATAATTCCAAGGGTTTCCAAATGAAAAGGGTTAATTTCACTTGAATTGGTTGATATAAAACTAAAATCAAAGTATTACCGGTTGAGAACCTTCCTTTCATGTTCTGTTCTGCAGACCTTAGTTGCATCTTGCATGCACTTGTGCTCTTCAAAACTTGCAACGAAAATCTTTTACGAATTTTTAAATCATACAAGTCAAAATTTTGTTTAAAAATTAATGCACAATAATAGTCATAAGAACGTGCAATAGGTATTTTGAAACCTTAAATATACTGCATGGTTACCCTTTGCTTTTGTTTTATACAGAGAAATCTTGACAAACTGTCAAAAGCAAAATTATGTTCTTCTAGTAATATCTGTATGCTAAAAAGAGAGTACGTAGCTACCTTCACCTAACACTTCTATTTGCACCTAAAAGATGTGGATAACAAACAATTTGACCAAAATGACGTTGACATGTACGTGCCAAAGGATTACTAAACTTCTGACTGTAAAAGATATACGTGTTAGGTTTGGCCGACATTAATTAGTTGTTCATATTGATTTGAGGAATTTGATTGAATGAGGATTAACGAATCACAATTGCTCAAATATTAAGGTGTATTAACCACGACATATTGGTTAAATAATTATTGCCCGTGGATCAAATATTGATGAGCAATTATGAATTTGTATTTTCATTATTTCAGACATATACTATACAACCCCACAAAAGAAAAAGCATGGTGTACTAGCTAAAAAACATAAAAAGAAACTAATTAAAGGAAAAGGTGAAAGAAAAAATTATAAATTTGTGCCGTTCTTATGGTAACAGTTGTTTTTGTCATTGTGACGGTCATGTGTTACATTTTGTGTATTATTACAGGGGTGTGTTATTCACACACCTTATTTTACTTCTCACACATCCCTTGTTAATTTATGTTTGTTGATCTTCTTCAATTCATCCGATCCGATGCCAAAAATTAGAAGGATGTGTGAGAAGTAAAATGGGATGTGTGCATATCACACTCCTTATTATATGGATGAATGAATAAGTTATTTACATTGCATTCATGGTGTGAATATTACATTAAAAAATTCTTCATTCTTGTTATTCATCAAATTAATGGATGTGCATTTGTCTGAGGACCTAAATGTGTCAAAGGATGCAGATCTTCACTCGTTGAAGGCCATCCCCAGCTACTACTACTGTAGTACTGTTTGTAAAATAATTGACTACAAATGATTGTACAAAAATAATAATTAATATTATCTGAACAGCTCTCCATGCATGTTGAATGAAGTAAAGCGGATTTGTTTATTCATTGTCCAGTTCAAACTTGGGGAGCTTTTTCTCATTCTTGCGGTGATCAGAATTTGTGATTTAAGTCCAGTTAAACATGTTTAATTATACATTTAATCATCTTTTATTTATTTGCTTTCATTCTTTTTTCCTTCTTAATGTGTTGTTATTGTTTGGAACAACTAGTAAGACAAATCTAGTCAGTCAGCATTCACTGCATAATGAAAGATTATTCATATTTGGAAATGAATAATTAATTAAAAAAACTGTATTATTAAGGCAAATGGGCACTTAATATGTATCTGACTTATCTGCCTTCCCAGTTCCTATACACTCTCATCCCTTTTTATTTTGTGTGGTCACGGTTAAGCCACGTCAACATTTTATATTGATTTTTTTATAGAGATAATAAGACAAAAAATAATAGTAATATAAAATGTTGACGTGGCTTAACCATGACTGCATAAATAGGAGGGAATAGGAGTGTATGAGAACTGGAAGAGCAGAGAAGCTAGGTCCACTTAATATGTGTATCTTAAACCTTCAGAGTCAGATATTCGAGTAAATTAGTTAAAAGCTATGCAAAATGTGAATGTGACAGACTACGTAGTCAAGTTTGGGTTATGAGAGTGAGAGAGAGAGAGAGAGAGAGAGAGAGAGAGAGAGTCTCGCAGCCGGCTGGTCCCTATGTACAGGAAGAATAATAGAAAGTTAGGCAACTACACACATTTTTCAAAGATATCGATCATGAAAAATATTTGATAACAAATCCAGGGAGGACATCCTGCTTAAATTATTAACCTAGAAATAAAGTTCGATCTCTTGCTAGCTAACCTTTCTGCTACGTACTCTTATTGCATTAAACTAAGCCTTATTAAAGTAAAAATAGTTACACCCTTGGCCCTTTAGGTGATACGTTCAGGGAAATGGTTAATGATTTTTACAAGCACTTGTTTATTTTTATTTTGGGGCGTTTTGATATAGGCGCTTCGTTTTTTAGTTTTTTAGATTAAACATATACTCCTTTTGAAAATTTGATCAAACATTTTCCTAATATTTTGGTTTTTAGTTTCAGTTTTTCACATAAGTTCAATTTTATTTAGAATTTTAGTTTTTCCCGACTTCTCCTGGACATTTCGCTTTCTTTTTTTCTTTTTTTTTCTTTTCCTATCATCCCTATATTTATGCATTTATTATCCATCTCTATGCATTTTTTTATTGTTTGTTATAATTTTCACTTTTTTTGTGAATATAGTAGAATATTTATAAAAAAAAAAAATTGTCATATTTTATTATTTAGAAGATCCAACACATAATAAAGATTTGTTTGATTATATAGCTACGTCTAGTTACCTATAATATGGACACATTTAGTTTTATAGTGGATTTGATTTTTTGTATTTCTCGGTACATTTGGGATTTTTTGTTCATTTGGTCTTTTGGTACATTTGGAATCTAAACGTACCAAAAGGGTTACCTGACAATGAGCACATTTGGTTTTATGGTACATTTGGTTTCTCTGTACATTTGAAATCTAAACGTACCAAAAGGTTACATAACAATAGGTACATTTGGTTTTATGGTACATTTGAGTTTTGGTACATTTGGTTTCTCGGTACATTTGAAATATAAACGTACCAAAAGTCGATAATTTATATATCTATACATGAAAAAAAAAAGTATTGAAGACTTTTTATTGAGACATTTTTAATAGAAAGAGATTTTTTTTAAAAAAAATACTGGTAATAAGGAAATGAGGAATTAGTTAATTAATTTTTTAATTTATTTTATTTAAAAAATATCATTTAATGCGTAGAAGGGGATTCGAAATTAAATTCCTATATTATAGGTAATTAGTTGCTAAGCTACCTTATGCCTCTATATAAATGCATTTAAATTAATGACATGGAAATTAAATAAAAAGAAAATTATTAAGGTGGCAATTAATCAAAGCACCTTAATCAAATCTTTAAAAGGGATTAATGTTTAATCTAACAACTATAGAAAAGATGTAGAGCATTCTAATTTTCCCTTTTATTTTTTTATATTTTCAGATATTTTTACAATTTTTTACTGCGCAGTAATAGAGTGTAAAAATTATATCTATGTAATTATTTATTAATATCTATGTTTACAATGAACCTTCTATTCCATGAAACAAGATATAAAAATAAAAATAAAAATAAAAAGGAGAAGGGCATAAATTGACAAAATTCGGTCAAAGGCCTCATTGGTCCAAACATTAATTGATAATCTATTCAAATAGTTGGCCCCATTAGCATTATTTTAACAGTAATCTTGTTTTTTTACTAAGATAATTATTAACAATTGTCAAGTGAAATTTGGCATGAGTACCACGGTGAAGGGTAAAGACCAAAGCTATATAAAGGGTGAGGAGGCTTTAGCTTCAGAGGCAGAAAACCAAAAACCCATTCTTAACAAAGGATAGGAAAAATGGTGCCTTCACAAGTGACCTCTCTTGTGGTCACTCTCCTAGTGGCAATAGTCTCTCTCACATTGCCTTCAGAAACTTTAGCTAATTACCCTTACTCATCTCCACCACCACCGGCCTCTCCTCCCTACCATTACAAGTCACCACCGCCTCCTTCTCCTTCTCCTCCAGTGCACTACTCACCACCTAAGCATCCTTACCGCCCTAAGTCACCACCACCTCCTCCTCCAGTGCACTACTCACCACCTAAGCATCCCTACCGCCCTAAGTCACCATCACCTCCTCCTCCAGTGCACTCACCACCTAGGCATCCCTACCACCCCAAGTCACCACCACCACCACCAAAGCCTTACCACTACAAATCCCCACCACCACCTCCTCCTCCAGTGCACTCACCACCCCCACCTAAGGAGCCCTACAACTACAAGTCTCCACCACCACCACCCAAGAAGCCCTATCACTACAAATCTCCCCCACCACCTCCTCCTCCAGTTCACTTACCACCACCTTCCAAGGAGCCTTACCACTACAAATCTCCACCACCACCACCCAAGAAACCTTACCATTACAAGTCTCCTCCACCACCACCAAAGAAGCCTTACCACTACATGTCTCCTCCCCCACCAGTGTACTCACCACCTCCACTAGTGCACTCACCCCCACCACCAAAGAAGCCCTACCATTACAAGTCTCCTCCCCCACCAGTGTACTCACCACCTCCACCAGTGCACTCACCCCCACCACCAAAAAAGCCTTACCATTATAAATCTCCTCCCTCGCCAGTATATTCACCACCTCCACCAGTGCACTCACCCCAACTACCAAAGAAGCCCTACTATTACAGATCCCCACCACCTCCTTCTCCTACTCCCCCTAAATACTCGCCACCTAAGCACCCCTACCACTACAAGTCACCACCACCACCACCACCACCGAAGAAGCCTTACCACTACAAGTCTCCACCACCACCACCTCCTCCAGTTCCCACACCATCTCCACCCAAGAAACCTTACCACTACAAGTCTCCCCCACCACCCCCTCCAATCTCCAAGTCTCCTCCACCACCAGTTTACTCACCACCACCACCACCTAAGAAACCTTACAAACCACCAACTCCTCCAGCAGTTCACCCACCGCACGGTTATATCTATTCCTCACCTCCACCTCCTCACCACTACTAGATATTGAAAGCTTAATTGCATCAAGCTGGTAAGCTTCTCCATTCTATGTTATTATTCATTAATTTGTTAGTACTACTGTTGTCAATTTGGAAATCACCATACAACCAAATGCACATTCTGACAAAATAACATTTTCCTATAAATTCTAATTGACTAGTGTTTATTTCCTTTTTTGGCTAATAATCCTTATTGGCATATGCTTAATGTATTAGAAAAATTAACGAAAAATTCAAAAAAACTTTAGTTTTAATGAAAAATGACAAATAAAGGTATAGTGAATAGTACCAGGAAAAGGTAAAACTGTGGTTTTTCGTTAAAAGTGAACAGTACCGGGAGTGTTTCGTTAAAACTCCCTAATGTATTTCCAACATATCGTTATTACTCAATTAGTATTTCTTTTTCTTGATATTCAGTAGTCGTGTGTAACAAATAGACCAATGACAGAGACCTAACAAATAACAATAATATGTCTTTGCAGGTAAGGGAAGAAGAAAGGTCAGAATAAAGAAAGGGGCTGTTGAAGTCGAACAGCGCGCCTTATCAAAAACGAGTCTCCACGCAGCTGCTGATGTAACGTGTTTTATATATACGATATCCGATAGAGGTTCATATTTTCCTTTCCTTGTAATATTAGACAGTTGTAGGGCACTCATGTTCCATGTATTTTATTTCCTGTTTCTCAAAAGAGATGGTATATGTAGTTTGTTTCAACCTTCCAATGGAGAGGTGATCATCATAATAATAAAATAAATACATTCCCCAACTTTTACTTAATTTCTCACATATCTAATATGTTTTACTCTCTTAATTAAATTTCCAAATAATGTTATAGAAAACCACGTATACTACATCGGTGTACCATTTATTCTCATAAGTAATGTATACATGTTACGTCTTAATGAATTTATCTCATTGAATATTGATTGACTTACTTACATTATATATGGTAATAATGTGGTGTAAATATGTGGCATCGTCCTTAACATCACTCTAAATTTCCTGGTAATAATATATGCGAGCGGTGTTAACAAATCAAATCAAGGGATGAGAAAGAAGAAAAACTATTTGCAAATTCTTATTCTTAATATTTCATAAACACTAAATAAAGAAGACTATGAATTGTTAAAATGCCTACTAAGTGATCTATTTTGTCAAATCATCTTAGTATTGTATTATTTTCTTCAATTAAGTGATCTATTTTTTTCAATTTGTTTTCCATATTTCATGGCTTAAATTTGTGATTACTTTTTCAACATAAATGTCAAATACTTTTTCTAAAAGTTAATGTTGTCTATTATTTATCCATTGCTGGAAAAAAAGTTAAAGTGGTAATCTTATTGATAAAACTTAGTCCACTACACTATATATACAATTGTCTTCCAGTAGACCATCGTGGATAAAAAAATCAAAAGGATTATCGAAACCCCAAAAAAATCTCAGCAGTAGAAAGATTGACTATCATTTTATAGTGATCTGAGAGCAATAATTTTTTTTTCTTTTCCAAATAAGTCATTACTAGGTTAAAGCAACGTTTTAAGTTTTAACGTAAATAGGTATCTCAACCACGCTAGGGTTTGAAATTAGTATTCTAGGTGACGACGCAGCTCTTTCTTTTCTTTATGTTATCCAAACTCTTTTTCTTTTTTCTTTTTTCTTATCAAGAAACTGTAGGTCGCTCTCCAATTTATGGATTTTGGATTTTAGTTATGTATTCTTAGTGTGGAAATTTGGCTATAAAATACGTTGACACTTGTCCTTTAAACTAATGCAACCGAACAAATTTGTAGTTAACAATTTCATTAAATTAAAACATGGTGGAGTGAGTAAGCGGTGAGGCAAGACAATTACGTCGCTTATTCTAAAATTCGAACAGAGTTTGGTTTATATGCAAATGAGTGGACAAACCTTCCAATGGATGCAACGATGGTCATGAATTATGATTGTGTGTAGGGTTTCGAGTTAGGGACGTTGGCTGTCATGCAAAGTGAGTACGTAGCCACTTACACTTAATGGCAGAGGTCGATGATTTGCGCTACGGAAAATGGTTTGATTTGCTTATACCAATTACCAAACAAAGCAAATATATTTGTCCTTTTGGTTTGGTTGTCAGCTGTCAAGTATGCGTTAGAATTCTTTAATTTGGGTTAAATAAAATAAAAAAACAAAAAACTTTTTGAGGGTGAGATCTGAGAAATTTAGTTTTTTTCCCTTCATATATTTGGGATGAAAGTTCACTTAATCACACAAAATGGATCTGACCGACAATAATTTAGCATCAAATACATCATTCATGAAAATCATGTTTGAGCCTAAATAAAAATAAGCATGTTATGGGGTCAATCTAGTTTCATTTGTAGAAAGTTGCACGACTCAGGCCCACCAACTTCAAAGCCCAATTCAAGATCATATCACAAAGCTAGGCGACCTTTTTATCCCCCTCCAACTTGTCTGAGGGCTTGGGCGGATCTCTTTCTGAAGCACGTCAGCCACGCGGACGACCAAACCCGAGAATATCTCACCTCCTTAAATGCTAACGTACGCCAGGGACAAAGCCAGAGATTTATGTGAATGGGGGCATTCTCAAACAACAAAGTCATAATTAAAAAGCTCAAAAATTTACTAAACACAATACTTATATATTAATCCATTAAGTTTTTCATACAATAGTCCCTTACAATATCCTTCGATGTGTTTTCATATTTTGAAAGCGTTGCATGACAACATCATTACCAATGCCATCAAATATCTCTCTCTATAAAAATAACCCTGTTATCATTCATCCATTGATTTCCCATCCGATTTCTCAATCGATTCTTTAGAATTTTCATGGCCGAAAATGCTCTTTCAACGGTTGCAGTAGCAACTGGAAGAGTTAGTGCTAATGTCACAAGCAAGTAAACCAGCGAATACACCTTGTGTTTCTTGCATTGAACCATTTTTTTTGCAAGATCTCCAATCTCTTTTAAACCTGAAAACTCAATGCTAGACTGCATATCCACAATGTAAGTCTCAAGTTGAATCTTAAGTATCACCAGCTCATTCGTAGAGAAGTCTTTAGGATAAAATTGGGCAAGACGCAATAGCTTTTGGCTATCAAAAGCAGAGAAGGAGTCAGCTGGACATAAACATGCCAAACAAAGAAGTAACTCAGTGTTGGTCTCATTGAAACGATTATTTAGTTCTTGAAGCTGCCAATCTAAAACAACATAAAATATCCCAACACAATAATGATGCATATTTGTGACTGCTTGTGCTTTTCGTTGCCCTTGTCTTCGAGAAAGAAACATATCATCCATATTAGGCACATCAATATCATGTTTAAGACAAAATTCTGAGACTTCACTAAGTAAAGAATCCCAACCACTTTTCCTCATTATCTCCAACCTTTGCTTACAAACGCCAACCAACTTCATGGCATTTACAATGTCCTAATCCTTCCTTTGCAATGCTTGTGACAATTCATTGGTTATTCCTAGTATATCTTTCATCAAGTGTAGATTAAACACAAAATCAAATGATTGCATGGAATCCAATAAATTATTCGCTTCACATCTTTGTTGAGAGCTTACTCCATCATCTGCTATTACTTCAAGTACATCAAGTATGGATGAAAACATAGTCATTATACTTACTAAAGTACCAAGGTGCGAACCCCAACGTGTTTCTCTAGCACGTTTCAAAGTAGTTTCTTGATTTTTGCCTTTCCCACTTGTAAACTCACCATTGTTTAGTGCTTCAATAACTGCAATAGATTGCTTCTCTCGAAGAAGATCACAACGCTTCGATGATGCTCCAACAAGATTTACCAAAATAGTAATTATACTAAAAAGAGACTCAATTTGGATGTTCTTCTTTGCCACAGCTACAAGAGCTAATTCAAGTTGATGTGCAAAGCAATGAATATAATAAGCACAACCACTTTCTTTCATAATAAGAGCTTTAAGACCATTGAAATCACCTTGCATATTGCTGGCCCCATCGTAACCTTGCCCACGCAACCTAGACATGCTCAATTTATGCCTAGAAAATACCTCATCAATGGTTTCCTTGAGTGAGAGAGCAGTGGTACTAGTAACATGCTCAATGCCAATAAAATGCTCAACAACATGCCCATTCTTGTCCACATAACGCAATACAATAGCCATTTGTTCCTTCGTTGATACGTCGCGAGATTCATCAATCAAAATAGAGAACAACGAAGTGCCAACGTCTTCAATAATAGCCTTGATCGTCTCAGTTGCACAAGCATTTACAATGTCTTTTTGAATATCTGGTGATGTCAATTTGTGATTCTCTGGAGCATTTTTCAAAGTAACGGCTTTCACATCCTCATTGTGGTCGGCAAGAAACTGTAAAAGCTCAAGAAAGTTTCTATGGTTGCTTGAATGTTCAAATTCATCATTACCACAAAATGCAAGCCCTTGTCTCAAAAGAAATCGACAACAATCAATTGATGCATTCAACCGAGCTCTATATTGAATTCGAGCTTCATCATGAGTTTTAGAGAAGAATGACTGGATATGTTGTTTTTGACTCCTTAAAGCTTCAAAATTACTCCATGCTTGATTGTGTGCACTATTGACGCCTCCAATATGAGTTAGAAGTCTTTCTTTCTTCTTCCAATTAGAAAATCCTTCGCCAACAAAGAAATCACCACCTGCTTGTTCTCTAATGTTTGGTTTAAAAAGGTAGCAACATAGACAAAAGGCAGCATCTTTTTCTACACTATATTCCAACCAAATAGGAAAATCATCAAACCAAGCAGGGTTGAATCGTCTTTGCGTGTCTCCATATTTCTTGTAAGGAAAATTATGGGTTTTAGGTTATTGAGGACCAGCTAGCACATACGCTCTTCGTACTTGATCTCGAATATTAGGATTGTAATCCAAAATTCGAATTCGCTTACCAGGATCTGATGGAAGATTTGATAAAATAAATTCTGTACTATCTTGTCCCTGAGTATCAATATTTTTCTCAATAACTGGGGATGGCGGCACTGATATTTTTTTGAAAAACCTCTCCATGATGTTTCAGTCTGCAAAGTTAGTCATATTTACCAATAACATATAAGGTTCATATATAATTTATAGAATTTATAGAATAAAAATCTCAATAAAATTCTTAGACTCTTAGTCCTAGAGCATCCATATCCAACCAAGGCAACAATTCAATTAACCAATAGCAATAAGCATATAAATTATTCAACAAATAAACATTTAATTCAACAAATCATATGAATAAATGTATACCCATATTCATAGAATTCGTAATTTCATAATTTCATTCATCAATAATCATAGAATTCATATCATTAATCAATAATCAATAAGTCAATAACCGTATTAGTGCATTACCATATCCATATGATTCTATATTTCTATACCAATTAAACAAAAATTCGTCTTAAATAATTAATTAGGGTTAGGGATTATAGATTTAGGAATTAAAAAATTTACCTAAACATATATATGTCGGCTAGATTGTGGCTCAAGGGCTGGCTGGAGTGGCTGGAAAGAACAACTTTGCTTCTGTTCCGTTCCGTTTCAAGCTGTTGGGGTTGGGGGAAGAGCAGCAACAAGCTACTCTCTGATTGGCAAGCCGCAATGGGCAATGAAAACAAAACGGAGGGATGAAATTATGGGACCGTGGGGACAAATTGTCCCCCACTATAACATACTTTTTTTTTTCTTCAAACAGATAAGAAACGATGCTGTTTCGTTCACCTTTTTAAAATATTTTTTTACCAGGATCAAAATGACGTCG